TGTATGCATACATACATGCATGCAGGTATGTATGTATGTATGTATGTATGCATGTATGTATGTGTGTATGCATTTATGTATGTAGGTAGGTAGGTATGTACGTATGTATGTATGTATGACATGCACACATATATACATAAACGCTGTTTTGCTATATGGTTGGAGTGTTTGGGTTTGTTGTTTTGTTTCTTGTTCTAACCATGTTTTGTTTTTGGTTTAAACGAATCCAGAGAACGACGCCCATCAGAGTTCGGAGTGATGCGTTCTGTTGTATGTTGTGTTTTGGCGCCAGCGAAGCATCGTTGTTTGTTTTTTGTTGTGTTTGAATATGCAACTCCAGCTGGTGTTGCGTTTTGTTTTGTTGCGGCTCGGGGTCTTTCTATCCAGCGTGCTGCTTTTGCAAGTGCGCTCGGCGTGTGCTCGTTTTGTTGATTGTTTTGTTCTTTCGTTTTGCCCTCCCCCTTTCGTTGTTACCCTCCTCCCGTTCCGTTTTACCTTCGTTCCCCTCGCTCCGTTTCGCTTCCGTTCCGTTTTACCCTCCTCCCGTTCCGTTTTGCCCTCCTTCCGTTGCGTTTTACCCCCATCCGTTCCGTTTCACCCTCCTCCCGTTCCTTTTTTTTTCTCTCGTTCCGTTGCAACTTTCTCCCGTTCCGTTTTACCCCCTCCATTCCGTTTTACCCTCCTCCCGTTCCGTCTTACAATCTTCCGTTCCGTTTTACATTCCCTCCGTTCCTTTTCGTTTTACCCTCCCTCCGTTTCGTTTTACCCCCCTCCGTTTCGTTTTACCCTCCCTCCGTTTCGTTTTACCCCCCCCCCCCTCCGTTTCGTTTTGCCCCCCTCCGTTTGGTTATCCCCCTCCGTTTCGTTTTACCCCCCTCCGTTTCGTTTTACCCCCCCCCGTTTCGTTTTACCCTCCCTCCGTTTCGTTGTACCCCCCCCTCCGTTTCGTGTTACCCCCCTCCGTTTCGTTTTACCTTCCCTCCGTTTCGTTTTACCCCCCCCCCTCCTGTTTCGTTTTACCCCTACGTTTCGTTTTACCCTCCCTCCGTTTCGTTTTAACCCCTTTCCGTTTCGTTTTTACCCCCCTCCGTTTCGTTTTGCCCTCCCTGCGTTACGTGTTACCCCCCTCGTTTCGTTTTTCCCCCTCCGTTTCGTTTTGCCCTCCCTCCGTTTCGTTTTTACCCCCCTCCGTTTCGTTTCACCCCCCTCCGTTTCGTTTTGCCATCCCTCCGTTTTGTTTTACCTTCCCTCCGTTTCGTTTTACCCCCCTCCGTGTCGTTTTACCCTCCCTCCGTTTCGTCGTGCCCCCCTCCGCTTCGTTTTACCCCCCTGCGTTACGTTTTACCCCCCTCCGTTTCGTTTTACCCGTCCGTTTCGTTTTACATCCCGCCGTTTCGTTTTGCCCTCCTTTCGTTTCGTTTTACCCCCCTCCGTTTCGTTTTTCTCCTCTCCGTTTCGTTGGCCGAGATCCTCGAGTGCTTCGTGAGCGTCCGGGATAACCGCGACCCCAGCCTCGTCCAGCGGAGCACCAGCGAAGGAGACACCGGGCAGCTTCGGAGTTCATCGGCCCGCGGCGTCTCGGGGTGCTGTCGGGGACGAAGGGCTGCGGCCGAGGGCCGGGGGCGGCCAGGGGGGCTTCTGGCCGAGTGCCCGCGGCAGACGAGACGGCGGGGGCCGCGGTGAATTTCGAAGCTGACTGGTGCACCGAGGAGTTTTTTTCTGCGGGAGCAAGTCGGAGTGCCTGCTGCTTGTTGGGAGGTTTAATGTACTCGACACTCTGCCGGGCGGAGACTACGCCGATGCCTTCGAGCGCAGCGTCGACCTGCTGATGCATTTCTTGTCCGACAAGTCGGCGGGGGACGCAGCGACCCTGGATGGGGCGCTTATTCGCAGTTCCGTGGTTTCGGCGGTTTGCGCAACGACGCCGACGGCGGGGTTTCAGGGTTCGTGGCGAAGAATGTGGTTTACCAGGGGGCGCGTAACATTTTGCATGGTCGGGGCGCTTCTCGCTCCCACACCTCGCGATTTTGCTCGGGGCCGAACCCATGCAAACTAGCATGCATCTACTACCAGTCGGCAGCCGTGGCCAGGGGCCAGCACGTTGGCACGTATGCCGCCATCAAGATCGGTTTGGAAAAAGTGCGCCTGCAGTACAGCGACGCAGCTGGCTGTCTCGCCGACGTCGACTGCATGGTTCTCCAGGACAACCTGCGCAAGCTCGTCGAGGTCTTGCAGTCGACCACGACCGGGAACCTTTACGGGAAGGGGCGCGCGACCGCGCTGAAGGCGCACGGCGTGGAGAAGACGGCGGCGGCCTGTGCCAGCGATTCGGGCGACGAGAGCGAGCCGCGTTGAAAGTCTTGCACAAAGCCGGCTTTCTGTTTTGCGATCTCCCGCCTTGCCATTCCCCAGGCCAAGAAACTTGTTCGCCTGCGTGGCCCCTAACAGTGATTTCGCCCCCTGCGGCTGCCGCGTCGGCGTCCGCGGCGCCCGCGGCGGC